AAGTGTTTCTGTGCAAAGTGTGTTAAACATGAACAACACCCTGAGAGGAAAAAAAAYAATGGTTTGTTGATTAAGAATAAATCTCCATCAATAACCTGTCTGTGCTAACAAYGTCTGAGCATTCMCCCCTCCACCTCCCCTCCATTCAGTCAARCTGCGCCCCCSCTAGGGGGCACGCCCCACACTTTGGGAACCACTGAGATATATATGTATGTTTAGTCACATGGACAGTGCTATTTTATTACCCCGCAAAGCATACCAGGTAGACAATGAAGTTTTTGGGTGAGAGGCTGTGCGAGCTCTTATCCACCCTGAAGGTTAATCTTGGACCTTCAGCCCTTTCAAATGAAACCAGAGCTCCTGAACAGAGAGGWGAATGTAGAAATGACTCGACCTGCAACTGAAAATGCAAATGGAGGACAAAAGAGTTGCTTCATTTATTGGAGAATCCCAGTTTAGCCTGTTAGCTTTCACGTCAGCGCCAAGCTATACATAGCTACTGTATATTACTATATATATTGTGTTCTGGTTTCATTTATAAGGGCTGATCGTAAGATATTAAAGATTTACTTTCACTTGCGGGCTGGATGTAGCCAGTGCAGCCAGTTGAATAGCCCTGTATTAGGTTTTAACTGGGTGCTCTATGTCTTTGGGCATTTCCAAAGTTTAGCAATTTAAATAAAAATAATTACATTTTCTTTTCTCCATATAAAGAACAAGAAAAGCGATGTGTCTCCTTCTGTAAGTTTGTTTGAGGTTACTATGCCAATAAAGTTTCCTTGGGTTCCTTTGCAGGAGATTGACAAAAATTGCTTTTAAAAACTGTCTGCACTTTTGTAAAACAGTGCTACACCATTAAACTGCTGAATCATTCATCACATATGACCACTAGAACACATGACTGTCAGCAGACTGTCATCTGGCTACTCCTTTTAATGATAAGAACATAGATTGTTCAAAAGCACATCTTCCTCAAAGGCGTTACAACCTAATCAATACCTTTATCTAAGATATACAAACAACGCTATTTACTTTTCTCAATACTTACCTTGATTTTTTGTTCACCAGAGCAAATATGAGAGAAAATCCCATGTACTTCATAAATTAGGAGGTCATGACTTTGTCATTAAGTGGAATGCAAAACTTATAAAACAGTTTCTAAATAAAAGGACCTAGCCTGAACTGATTTCAACTTTTCAAACTTGTGTTTACAGCAGCATTTCTGGTGAATTCTGAATTGTAAACACAAGCTAAACTTTAAAATAGGTCTTATATGTTTTTGTTTTTGCAAGACAAAGACAAGTACATTACCATGTATAAAGAATGACTGTGTTATGTGTGTGTTGCATTAAAAACAACTGAATTAACAGTCTGTAAAATGTGTAGTTTAAAAAAAAAAACATCATTCCACCTCTGAGATGCATGTTTAATTGTATTTGCTGAGAGAATGTGTCGTTCTTGTTTTCCAGTTTGTGTAGGAGAAACAAGACGCCACAGGGTTCACCGTGGTCACTGGGTTTTCTTTTTTCAGGTACTTGCTGAAAATATCTCAAGAGATTTGCCGAGTAGTGAGGACAGAAACATGCTGTTGCTTTCTGACAGCAAACAGCAAAACGCAGCCACTTTCCATCAACACAATACTTCATGGAAAGCATAACTTTATGGTTTAAATAAGGAAAGGCATAAAGCTCCACGCACTGGAAGTTTCACTGGTTTGGTAACAACAAAAAAGTGGCTACAGATCCATTACTGACAGGAATTTACCGCCTCACTAACTCTGTTGTTATTCCAGCTAGAGTATTATAGTGGTCGATGGACCATCAGCTCTACTGGACACTGGAAGGCAAAAATCACAGAACTAAATGATGTCAAGAATTACTAAAGTTATATGTCTTACATTCATTTAGATATGTCTTACATTCATTTAGAGAAGATTAGATATACTGTTAGGGGATCTGTAAACAATTTTTTTGACATCTGGCAGCCATTTATATCTTATGTAGAAAACATTTCGGCAGATAACTTTGTGTAAAGGTTAAATATTGTTTCATTGTACACAAACCTGTTTATTGTATCAATTGTATTAATACAAGATCGATTTTTGTTGTTTCAGTAGACCCGGTATAGGAGGGGGTGGGATGGGATTGGTGGGATTTCGGGTGTTTGTGTTTTTGTTACCGGTAGTTTGTTTTTTGTTGTGGATTATGTTAAAAAATAATAAAAAATACTTTGATCAAAAAGAATTACTAAAGCTAGAACCTCAAGAGACCGCAAATGTTGGAGACTAGTAGGTGAAAAGCATTTGTGTCAAAGTCTCAAAAACATTGACAAAGTTTTCAATTTTTTATTAGTAAGATGATGCAGAAGATAGGATTCTTGTTGCTTAAAGTTTCAACATGTTTAAAATATTTAAAATGAAAAATTCAATCTCAGAATAACCGTCTTGTGGTGGACATCTGGAACCATTCTCGGTTTAATTTCCAAAATTATAGAGGGTTAGAGCTCTTTTTTGACACCTGCTCAGATTATTTCCATATCACAGAAAACATCTGACAGTACAACCTCATAACTATAAAAAAACAACTGTTCCAATTCTGCCTACTTTCATTTAAATATCTACTCCAGTAAGCAATAAAAGTGAGAGCTATTCATAAAAGCCTTTTCTGCAAAGGTATTTTGTTCTTGCTTTTCAATTACCACCACCACCAACTCCACCAGTAAAAATCTCATGTTGGAAATTTCTCCTTAAGAGAAGTAAGAAATGGAAARAATTAAATATTGGCGGGGTTATGTGGTGTGTAAATCTGTAATTGGCATTGACCCACAAAACCAGAATATGTGCATCTCTCGTATATGGAGTACACAATTCCCTTTTCTTTAGCTATGTGGAACAAAAGAATCTGGAGACAATTTCATGGCAACTAATGTCAAATATTAAAGTTCTCCTCTAAAATAAAGATGTCACATCACTGTTCCAGTAAAATCATTGGACGGTTAACAAAATTAAAACATTTGATATATTCAACATCAATCAATGCATTGTGACCACCAGAGAAACAACACTATCTATAAATAAAAAAAAGAAGAACACAGTACGTCAAATAGTTTTAATACAACAATGTACAAAATTGAAGGAAGTATGATAATATATAGCCAATTCCTACTCCCAGTTCACTGAAAAACTTGATAAACATGGCCTCATGTTCTCAGTACTGAGAAAATTAATCAAAATGATTTAATAAAGATGAAGTGTGTTTGCAAGGTTATAGATAACTGAACTCACACAGTTAGACAAAGAGGACTAGAGGTTCATATCACCATATGCAGCACATCTTAATGAAGATAAAATAAGAGCAAAAACTCTAAGAGATTAAAAACAACTAAGTGTTACAAAGGCTACAATAACCAAGCATTTAAAAAAAGAAGAGGACATGGCTTCAGCACAASCTAATGGATAACACATGTGATTGGCTGTGCAGGATCCCACACAGTCATGGAAAATATGAGAAATAAGAGTGCTGCAAGCCAATGTTGGCCCCTCTCACAACCAAACAAGGCAACTTAGGAATCTATCACTTTTACAATCCAGTTCCTGAGAACACCTGCATTATTGGTGCAGCAGATCAAGGAGTGCAATGTTTCTAAGATCTTTGATAGGGAGTGTTTTAATCTTCAGATGGTTGTTGTATAGTGTACCTATACTGATGTCTGATTTTTCTACCTAAACCAATAAGAATGGTGCAAATTTACATTTTACTGCCTTTATAGCTCTGACTTTTTATTTTCCACTCATTCTAGAGAAAAAAGGAAGGCCAGTCAGTCTCTTCAACTTGTCACAGGAACTAAAATGGATCCTTTGGTACTTCCTCATTCAGTTATTTAGTTTTCATTAATTAAATAACTGATATAAATAAGACTATTCTTTCATAGACACTTCATCTGTTAAAGGCACAGTGTG